ACTTTTTGGGGGAAGTAATCAGTAATTAGTTACTGATTACTTTTTTTCAAGTAACTTGACCAACACTGGTGACAACCCACTGCCTTTGCAGTATGTTTTCCCCTCAGTGTGGTCTTGGTAATTAACAAAGTTCTGTTTTTGCATTTGCTGGCTTAACAAAACTGAAAACATCCGTCAGCGACCTTTCTCTGTTTAACTGATCTTCCTGCTTTGAAAGTGGCACAACCCAGAAAACTATAGCAGCATCCCACAAACAAACATTGACATAACGCTTATATTTGTCATTAGAATAAAAGTGCAGACTTTCCATTACAGTCTGCCAGTTCTGCTATGGACATGCTACAGACTCCAAGGAATGCCCCCTAACCGATTTATGAGGTTCATAAAGTTCTCACTTAAAGCGACACCAGTGCAGCTGCCATGCACAGTAAGATCCAAGAAAAGAAACCCTTTATCTCTTGCATTTACATACCACGTTACATTCTCCCTGCTGCCTCTGATCCTTGACGTCCACTGGCAGTGTCAGCATAATGTGAGTGGGACAAAAGGTGCAGTAAACCTGTTTTTAGCAACAATAACATCCATCCATCAATTTTCAGGAGACTATTGATCAGTTGGTGGCCACCTGATAACTATTGGTCATGAGGGAAAAATCCGTATTCAACGACTGGTTTGCAAGTGGTTACAGGAGGATGTTTGCTGTTGCTGGGTGAAACTGATTGCAGTAAAGGAAAACACATTTTTCTATACTGAACAGAAAAGTCGTTCTGTAGAGACCGTCAGTGCAACTCTCCAGGTCACTGATGGGTTATTTGCTGTAACTCATTTAGTTCTATAACTTAGAGCATGATGTTCTTAGAGTGTTATTCACCTATTACAAGAAGATTTGCAGAGTGATTATGAGCGCAGATAGTACGCTGTATTCAGTTTCAGTGATTAAACTATATATCTGTGTAAAACACTGAAACCAAATCAACTTAGCAGATGCTGTAACTGAGAAATGTGCTTTTGTAAAAATATAACCTCATTGTTAAATTTCAAAACTTGTTTGGAAAGCGTCATCAACAGCTCCAAAGGTCAGAAAAGTTCAGGGTTTGTTTTGTCATAATATTTAATTCATTTCATTTTTATTAATGTAGTGATGAATCAGAACAAGAGGTGCCTCAAACGCTTTATATTGTAAGGCAAAGACCCTAAATAACTGTATTTAACAGCTCCATGGGCAAGCTGTTGAAAATCAAGAGAGGAATTTGTGACATCCAGTGATGGTTCTAATGAACATCCATAGAAACTATCGCTTTTTGTCACCGTGACGTTGCCATGTATAAGTGCATATTGTAACTTTTGAGACTGAACATATGATCAAACACAGCTCGAGTATCTATCAGATCAATCAGAGTGACAATGGAGAAGCTGACTTTCACTCGGGTAGTTTGTGTTTACATTAGTCTGCAGCTCAATGCTGCTCTCTAGTGGAGAGAGGCGGCACTGAGAAACACTGATGCAGTTAAGAAAACTCAATAAAAGTACATTTAAACCTTTAAGCTGCATAATAGTTCTTAATAGTTGAGCATATACAGAAAACGATCCCATCCAACTTCACAGGCCAGTGCATGAACCAAACCACCATCAGCCACTGACACTCATTTCCATGAGTATGCTCTAACCTTCAACTGGTTCAATGCATCACCACCTTTAAAAAATAAAGCGCATGTAACAGAGTTTTTCTTTGAAAGGCTGTATCAACCCTTCTGTATTTATATTTGTCTAA